GTAATCTTAGGTGCCTTAAATGCTCTGATGCTGTGGCTCACAGCCCAGACACCAACAGCCAGCAGACAAGAATGCAGTTTCCTGAGTGTGTATGTGCTGTGTAACCCTGATTCAGCACTCTAACCCCAGCAGCCTGCCTACAACACAACAGCCCCACCCTGTTCAACAATAATGGAATATGGTTTATTTAAATATTTTTGGATGCTTTCTACATTTTTAAATACATTGATTTCAATTACAACACAGATACAAAGTGTACAGTGCTCACTTTATTCTTAATTACAAATATTTGCACTGTAAAAAAAATAGTATTTTTCAATTCACCTAATACAAGTACTGTAGTGCAATCTCTTTATCATGAAAGTGGATCTTACAAATGTAGAATTATGTACAAAAAACTGCATTAAAAATAAAACAATGTAAAACTTTAGAGCCTACAAATCCACTCACTCCTACTTCTTGTTCAGCCCAAGCTGGGCAGTCCCATGGCCAGCAGCAGCAGTTTGGGTGTGTGGGAGGGGGCTCAGGGCTAGGGGGTTGGGGAGCACGGGGGGGGCACTTACCTCAGGGTGGGGGGCTCCCTGGCTGCCACTGGCATGGCCCCCCAGCAGCTCCTAGGCGGCAGAGGGGCGGGGGGTCTCCATGTCGCACACTGCCTGTGCCCACAGGCCCCACCCCTGCAGCTCCCATTGGCTGCAGTTCCCAGCCAATGGGAACTGCGGCAGCCAGCGCTTGTGGCAGGAGCAGCAGAGCCCCTGCCCTGGCCCCTCCCTCCGCTGCCTAGGAGCTGCAGGGATGCAGAGCTGGGTAGGAAGCCCCTGCCAGCCCCGCCAACTTTCCCCGCCCCCAGTACCAGCGGGGGTCCTGGGCCACCTCCCCCAGCACCTGCAGCAACCCTGGACTGCCCTCCCCAGAGCACTCGCAACCCCCTCCCCTGCCCAAGTTTTAGTCAGGGCGGGTATTTTTAGTAAAAGTCATGGACAGGTCACTGGCCCGTGAATTTTTGTTTACGGCCGGTGACCTGTCCATGACTTTTACTAAAAATACCTGTGACTAAAACGTAGCCTTAGTAATCATTAAGTGATCATCCCCTTTTGTCCATGCCCAGCTTCTGGCAAACAGAGGCTAGGGACACTTCAGAGCATGGTTTTGCACCCCTGCTCAGCCTGGCTAATAGCCACTGATAGACCTAGCCTCCATGAACTTATCTAATTCTTTTTTGAACCCAGTTATGCTTTTGGCTTTCACAACATCCCCTGGCAACAAGTTCAGCAGGTTGACTGTGCGTTGTATGAAGAAGTACTTCCTTATGTTTATAGTCTTGGCCTTCACAACATCCTCTGGCAAAGAGTTCCACAGGCTGTGTATTGTGGGAAGAAATACTTCCACATGCAATGGAGTGTCTTGTTTTAATAATATTTGGGGAGGGAGAAGGGGGTGTTTTGTTATTTAAACATACATATTGCTATGTGTTTATGTTAGAGAAGACAAGGTCAAAAAAATGCACCTTGCACTCGGAGTGGAAGGTGGTGAGGTTTGTGATGATTCTTAGTTCGTAGGGGATTTAATTCCACTCTCAGTCTGGCCCCTGATAAAATTCTCTCTCTCGCACAGATGAGTGTTACCCTTATTGTACAGTTCCATTGTCACACATGTGCAATTTTCCTCACTAAATGCAGAACACTCCATAAAACAGGCTTTTAAGATCTCTACAGTGCATCAATAAGAGAGCTGGGAATATATAACTTGGGACTTCCTGACACTCAAAATATGTGTAAACTCAAAAGCTTGTCAAGAAGTTGACCTGATTAAAGATATTACCTTCCTCGCCTTGTCACCTAAAATTCTGTCCATTTCATCAGGTCATACTGCCCCTGCAGGTGCTGCCATTGCGGAACCAGTGTATATTTGGTCTCTTTCCAAATTGAATCCTCTGAGGGATATTTTACACATATTCATATCTTAAAAGCAAAAGGCTGGATTTTCAAAACATCACCTGCACTTGCGCACAGATGCTCACTATGGAGACAAATTCTCAAATTGCCACACTCAACCCCACTCACCCTCCCCAAATATACACAAATGGGATTAGTATGTTATATCATTTGTATACACAAATAATAGTATGAAACAATTATAATAAACCTGATAAGTCTAGTAAATACAGCAATACTTTTTCATTGGTATGAAAGCAACTAGCACAGGGGTGGGCAAACTTTTTGGCCTGAGGGCCACATCTAGGTGGGGAAATTGCATGCAGGGCCATGAAGGTAGGGCTGGGGCAGGGGGTTGGGGTGCAGGAGGGAGTGCGGGGTGTGGGAAGGGGCTCAGGGCAATGGGTTGGGGTGCAGGGTGCAGGAGGGGGCTCAGGGCAGGGGGTTGGGATGCAGGAGGCATGAGGCAGGGGGCTCAGGACAGGGGGTTGTGGTGCAGGAGGGGTGTGGGGTGCAGCAGGGGGCTCAGGGCAGGGGTTGGGGTGCAGCAGGGGGCTCAGGGCAGGGGGTTGGGGTGCAGGAGGGGTGCGGCAAGGGGCTCAGGGCTGGGGGTGGGGTGCAGGAGGGGTCTGGGGAGCGGGCTCCAGACCGGCGCCACTTACCTGGAGCAGCTCCGGGGTGGCAGCAGCCCACAGCGGGGCTAAGGCAGGCTCCCTGCCTGCCCTGGCCCCGCACCGCTCCCGGAAGCGGCTGGCACCATGTCCCTGCGGCCAGGGGGGAGTGGGGGCAGAGGGCTCCGCGCGCTGCCCTTGCCTGCGGGTACCTCCCCTGAAGTTCCCATTGGCCGCGGTTCCCCATGAACTAGCACAATGATTCTCAAACTTTTGTATTGGAACACCTTTCAAACAGAAAGCCTAAGAGTGCGACTCCCCTTATAAATTAAAAAAACACATTTTTTTATATTTAACACTATAAATATTGGAGGTGAAACAGGGTTTGGGGTGAAGGCTGACAGCTCATGACACCCCACACTGTGACCCCATAACTAGCATAATACCATTGACCATTCTGATCTAGCTTGCACAATAAAAATTGACTTATTTAATGTATCTTGTTTTATTTTAGTGTGTCATCAAAACGCTATTTCCTGACACAATTTAGTATTCACATTGTCAGACTGTCAATTGCAATCTGTCACAACACAATTTTTCCATCACATACGAATAAATCTGCATCAATCCTAGCAACTGCATGGGTTAACTCCCACACAAACATCCCCCAAATATACCTTCATCTAGAACAGGGGCTCTCAACCTTTTTCTTTCTAAGCCCCCTTCAAAATGCTATAAAACTCCACGGCCCACCTGTGCCACAATAACTGGTTTTCTGCATATAAAAGCCAGGTCCAGCGTTAGGGGATAGCAAGCAGAGCAATACCCTGGGGCCTCATGCCATGAGGCCCACGCAAAACTATATTGCTCAGGCTTCAGCTTCAGCCCCAGGTGATGGGGCTCAGGCCCAGACTTCAGCCCCATATGGTGGGGCTTCAGCTATCTACCCTGGGCCCCAGCGAGTCTAACGCTGTCCATGCTTGGCAGCCCCCTGAAACTTACACACGCCCCCTCTCCCCCCGGGAGCCTCGGACCCCTGGTTGAGAACCACTGATCTAGAATACATTACCCACGTTTTAACTCTCCTTTACAATCCCCTCAGCCAGTTTCTGCTACCTCAAAAACAAACCAACCAAACATAAATCTCGATGCTGCCCACCAGTAAAAGTGTGTGAAGCTAATCTATTTAACCTATCTGGGTTTTTATACAGCACCCATCACTACAGTATCTGAGCACATGAAATTAAACAGCAGTATGGCAGTAGAAATCACCTTCTAGCCAAACAATATAGACAGCAACCTCTCCCTATCTGCAACCGTCTCCCCTAGGTTCTATCTTCTCCCCTATTCCACCTCACTCCTGCACCCCGTTCCCTGAGCTGCTTCCACACATCCCTTTCTCCAGAGCGCCACAGCTTCTCCTTCCCCTTGTCCCTCTCCAGTATTGCCCACTCCAGACATTCAAAAGTATGAATCCCCCCCCATCCCAAAATCGAGTTAAAAATCACCAAAGGGATTTTTCTTTTGACTCTATTTGCGGTTCTTTTGCTGTCCGTCTTGTTTTGGAGACTTTCCCAGGGCGGTTTTCCAACTTTTTCCCCACAACACAAGGGCTAGAAGCTTACTTTTTTTGGTGTGTGTGTGTATGTAGGGGCAGGGGGTGTAAATGAAAGAAAGCGGAGAGTTTCACATAATCCCATGACTCCTGGAGCCTGGGTTTGACACCAACATGGCAAGCCTGGTGATAAAATCCTGCCTTGTGATAACCCTGCCTTCCTCACAGGTGATGCTCAGGCTTTGATCCTTTAACTCTCCTCACCTGGTGCCCCCTTTTCTCCCATTCCCTCAGCTGCCCCCTCCCCATCTCCTGGTGGGGGCCCCTCCCCAGCTCCTGGTGGGACCCCACTTCGCTCCCTAAATTCCCTTCCCTCTTTCTCTGCCCCTTCCTCGGGCCTCAGCTGCCCTGTCCCCTCCTCTGGCCCCTCGCCGAGCTCCCCTTTTCTCCCGCTCTTCCTGGGAGAGCTCCCCCGCTCCGACGACCCAGCCCCCTGCCCCACTCAGTCTCTCCCCTCCCCCCTCCCGATCTGAGTCTCTGTCGCCACCCTGCAGCAGGGGCCGGGCAGGGAAACCCCGTGTGCGAGTGGTGGGGGCACGAGCAGGAGAAGGAAGGAGCAGGACACTGTCACATCTCCAACTGCTGCAATATCCTTCCGCCTTCGCGGCACACAAAATAGTTCCAATCTCCGCCCGCTCTTCTGGCCCTGGCAGCCTTACGAACCCCACAGGAAATATCATGCCCAGTTTGAGTGGGGACATCCGTGACACGGGCGTACCCTAAAAGGAGCATATTTGTGGCTTGGACTGTGGGACGATATACAGATCCCTCCGCGGCGAAAGGCGGCTTGAGTCCCGGCGGCTGCATGGGTATATAAACCGGGCGCCGCGAAGGCGCTGCCTTTTCAGTTGAGGACAGAACACAAGTGGGGGCTGGCGACTGGAACATGTCAGGTGGTTCCACGGACTATAGCAGGTATTGGGGGCTGAGAGATGGGGGGCTAGTTGGGGCCTTAGTGGCGTTTTTGTCTCTTGAGGCGATTTTAAGGGGCAGAGAGATTAACGCGGGAGGAGGTGGGGCGTGTGATGCCGGCTCGTTGCCGTTGGTGGGAAATATTATCCCAGATGGTTCCGTCCAGTTGTCCCCTGATAGGCAAGTTCTTCCCGCAGCTTGTCCGTTGCGGGGACCCACCACCCGTGCGGCCCAGCATGATTTAGCTCCGAGAGGAGCCGGCCATGACGCTTTAACTTTGAACCCCCTCCCCCCCGGTGTCCCGTTGGTTCACTCCGGCGTTTCATGGGCCCGGCTTCAGGCGAGTCCATTTTCACGCGGAGCGGGAGGGGCGCGGCGCTGAAGGCGTTTGCTGGGCGCGTTCCTCCGCCTGTTTAGCGTATCCCAGGGGTGGAGCTCTCGCGAGAGTTGGCTAGTCCTGGCTGAGGGAGGAGGGGCGCCGCATAGAAGCCGGAGAAAACCCTTCACTCCCTGTTCTACAGACGAGGTGGCCCACATGGGGCCGCTCTTTTGCCTTCTCCCCGGCGGGGGCTACAGCGCCCAGCAGGCAACGCTCTTAGAGCTGAGTTTTTTCGCTGCCAGGGGAGTGCTGCATGCTGGGAGCTGTAGTCTCTGCCCTGTTTTGCTGATCTTGCACTGTGGCTTAGGGGTTATGAATGGTGACGGAGCCTGGCACAGAAAGTTGGGAGTAATGGCATCCATGCTAATGAGGGGAGACTAGTTCTCATGCTGGGACAATACCAAAGCATTGTCTAGAGTAATCCATCACTGGTTCAAGTTCCAGTTTGGTGTGGGCCGTGCTAATGCTATCTAAGATACTGCGGTCTTGTTCTTCATGCAAGTTGTTAGTTGCAAAGAGTGTTAACAGCCTGCTTTTTCTTGGCAACAGAGACCATGGCGGCCCAGAGGGAATGGACCCTGATGGTATCATTGAGGTAAGCAACTGCATAATACCCTTTAGACTCAAATCCAATATGGAGGTAGGTAATCCGTGATGTAATCTGCTTTTTGCTTCCTTCCTTACAGAGCAATTGGAATGAAATTGTTGACAATTTTGATGATATGAATTTAAAAGAATCCCTTCTCAGGGGTATTTATGCTTATGGTTTTGAGAAGCCTTCAGCTATTCAACAGAGAGCTATTATTCCATGTATCAAAGGTAGGCAAGCACAAAAGTACTGCATCTGTCTGCTAAAGGTGACAACACAAGTTAACTAGAAAAGAGATCTTTTTAAATGTATGTACTATGTAGTTATTTTTAAAGTGTGGTGCTGATGCTTACTTTTAACCCTTGCTTGAACAAGTGAGATGATGGTATACCATCTTTCGGGACTGACCTGAAATGGAGAGAGCTTTTAATTGCTGATCACTTATTTCAAAAGCAATAGAATTAAACTAAATATGAATGACTTGTGTGGGAGCAGTAAATATATATCCTACTTTTTTTAGGGTATGATGTGATTGCTCAAGCTCAGTCAGGTACTGGCAAGACAGCCACATTTGCTATTTCCATCCTGCAGCAATTGGAGATTGATCTCAAGGAGACCCAAGCACTAGTATTGGCCCCTACCAGAGAACTGGCTCAACAGGTATTGATAGTGTAGTTAAAAAAAGCTGCTTGCACATTGCATAGGTTTCAGGTTTCACAACTGTGTAGGACAGTTAACAGACTTTTTAAAGGGGTCTGTAACTAATATCCATTCAGAATCCTTGCCACTTTGAGTGTAATGGGGAAACAGAATAGCTTCTGTTTTAGGTTTTCCCTACCCACATGAAGGGAGTTCAGATGTGACTTGTTTGGAGGTGATGCTGGGATAAGGTGCAGGTAACAGCTGATATGCTGTGTAGTTCTGAAAGGACATCTCCCAGCAAATGGTGAAATCTTAAAAATGATCTTAAAACAGTATGTTCTGAGTGGAAACAAAATGCACTTTTTGAAAACAACTCAAACTTGTGTGCAGTTGTGCAACATGAAAACTGCAGTGCACATGTGATCAGTTCATTGTCTTGTGGTGTATTTATCTGACCCATGCTATGTTGCATGTTTACTTTGCCTCAAAGGTTCAGTACTTTTTTCTGCTTAAAATGGAGCTGCTTTAATGGAGCACCAGGCTGCATTTATTCCTGTACTGTTAAAGTGGCTCTAAGAATCCATTGATTTAAGGTTTAATGATGTGATACGTGAAAGTGTAGATATCAGACTTTATAAAACGTTTTGCAGTTTGGTTTTATACTATATAAAATTTGCTTAGCACTTTTTAAGTGAGACTATTTTTACTTTCTCAGACCAAAGATTAGAGTCAACTGTGCTTCCAGGGGTGGGGGGGAAATTGTCCAGAGGTGATACCTTTTATAACAGTCAAAATACCAAAAGTATTTTGGTTTTGGAATCTAGGAAAAATTGTGGTATTAGATCAGTTCTAGTTTAGTGGATCTCTCATTAGATTGTTTACTAATCCTATTTCTATACTCTCAGTGAAGACAGTAGCAAAGTGAGACTTCACTGGGAACAGAATTGGGCATTTTTGCAGGTGATGCTACATATATCATTTGGCCTTAACACTGAGGATATTTGATTCTTGCCTAATAAATCTGTGTTTAAACTTTACTGCATAGTTGTGTACTCTGATTGCCTGACGACAAAATGTCGTAACTTATTTGCAAGCTGTTCTGCTAGTGCACAACACCAGTGATAGTTTTTTTTCAACTCTGCCGACACTTTGCAGTTTGGCCTCTAAAGGAAAATTCCTTATGATATCTTAAGGAAAAGATCTAGGATTCATTTGATAATGGGACTGACTCTTCTCTTGGTAAGAAGAAAAGAACTAGCTTAAATAAATCAACCCAAGAAATTACCATGTTGATGCCATTGGTGGGCTTTGTTCTTTAGTGACTAATTTACATTTTGGGGAGATTAGCAGCAACTTTGACCCAGTTTCCATACCAGACAAGTGCATGGTCCTTGTTCAGAACTGAATAGTGAATTATAGAAATTACTGTTTTGCAACTTTAAAAAAAAATCCAGTTAACATACTGGAAGTACTGACTAAAGGATTTTTATTTTAGATACAAAAGGTAATCTTGGCTCTTGGAGACTATATGGGTGCAACTTGCCATGCTTGTATTGGTGGCACGAATGTTCGTAATGAGATGCAGAAGCTTCAGGCTGAGGCTCCACACATTGTGGTTGGAACTCCAGGTCGGGTGTTTGATATGTTAAACAGACGATATCTTTGTAAGTACTGAATTTAGTTTCACTACTTTAGCAACCAGTATATTCACATGTGGAAGCTGCATGATGGTTTCAATTGACAATACAGAAATCAGGCTTTGTAATTTCTGGGGTTCAACTTTCCAAGTAAATAATTGTGGAAGAAATACGTATTAAAGGCAATAGATATACCTGAACATTCCACTTAAAAATATTACTGTTCAGCAGTTGGAGGAGAAGTTAAGAATGTTTGAAACTTTGCATTAGATACATAACTTGCAGGATGTGAAACTTAAAAGGGGAGTGAAGTGATGTTTTACCATCTTTCGGGACTGACTTAGAAATGATGATAAAAGTTTATACTGATCACTCGTATCAAGGAAGAGGTAGTGATTCACAGCCATTTCAGATGCACTAAACATTCTCCTTAGCATGCTTTATGAAACACTTCTCCCTCTCTCCTAGCACCTAAATGGATCAAGATGTTTGTTTTGGATGAAGCAGATGAAATGTTGAGCCGTGGATTTAAAGATCAAATTTATGAAATTTTTCAAAAGTTAAGCACAAATATTCAGGTAAAATCAGAATTTAGTTATAACTAAGATGAACAGCTTGAGTTAAGAAATGCAGGATAAGTTACAATGTAGCTGTCAGTGCTGTATTGTCGTTCCCCCTGCTCAAATTAATTGTGTCATACTATCCCTGTCTGCCTTGATTCCCACAGTAGACAGGGACGCTTGGTCTCGTACATTTAATCTGTCTTCACTTACCTGTGTTAGATTCATTTCAATATTAATCAATTGATAATCCTATTTAACTATGGTCTCTGTTTTTGAGTGCTCACTGCACAAAGTGCTCTCTTGGATGTTGGTGGTGGTACACTCATTTAGGGTTAGTACAGTACCTCTGAATATTGGTAGTTTTTCTTACAATTTTAGAAGCATTTCTTCTCCGTTTGTACTGTATCTCTTAGGTTGTATTGCTGTCAGCCACAATGCCAATGGATGTGTTGGAAGTGACCAAAAAGTTCATGAGAGATCCTATACGTATTCTGGTGAAGAAAGAAGAATTGACCCTTGAGGGTATCAAACAATTCTATATTAATGTTGAAAGAGAGGTAGGTGCTAACTTTATTTCCTTTGGCTAGAAGTATTTAGAAGATCTCTTGTCTTTCCACCTTCTTGTTCAAGCACTGTGCTAAAATTACAGAAACCAGGGCTGAGCCTTGGTTTTCGTAGTAATGCTAGCAGAGTACACATAAGAAGAAGAATAAATGTGCACTAGATCCAAAATGACTTGGGTGGACCTCTTTCTTAATGTCCAGTGTCCTATGTCTTAGGATTTGGTGCAATAATCTATGTTGAAACTTGCATGTAATGCTTATTTTTCATGTTGTACCTACATAATTCTATATACTGAAATGTTAATTTAATAATGGGGTTTTCTGTAGTTCTTGCCCTGCCATATTAAAAGATTTTTTTTTTTTAGTAACTAATTACCTGGCACTTTTTCCTAAATATATGCAAATTTATTTAGGAATGGAAGCTGGATACTCTCTGTGACTTGTATGAGACACTGACCATTACACAGGCTGTTATTTTCCTGAATACAAGGAGAAAAGTGGATTGGCTTACAGAGAAAATGCATGCGAGGGACTTCACGGTCTCTGCTCTGGTGAGAGTTGATGCTTCATTTTATCTAAGACATTTCATGCTTGTCTTTAAATACATTAATCTCCATTTCACTTGTGCAATGATAGAATCATTCCCGCTAAAGTGTCTAACAGATTCAGAAACTCTAGTTCTAGGCACCAAAACTGGTGCTGTTTAAAGTGAGAAGCAGGTTAAGTTACAATGTAGCTGTGAAGTGCTGTATTGTCGTTCCCCCTGCTCAAAGCAAAATGTTTCATACTATCCCTGCCTGCCTCGATCCCATAGCAGATGGGGACGCTTGGTCTCATACACATTTAAAATAAGAAATAGATTTTTCTGTTCTGGAATACTGAGATTGTAAAAGTTCTCATTTTTGATTTCTCCAGCATGGTGACATGGACCAGAAGGAACGAGATGTTATCATGAGAGAGTTTAGATCAGGATCAAGCCGTGTCTTGATTACTACTGATTTGTTGGTAACTATCCCAATCATCTTCGCATATGCGTAACGTGCATCAGGTGGCATGTGACCAGAATTCATCACCGAATTTGGTCCACTGGTTGGATCATTCGCTTCCCCAGCTTGGGCCAAGTACTGATGGGAGTGCGATGTGAACACCGATCCATGCCCCCAAACATCTCAATTACCTTAATACTGCACCTCCAGTGTTTTAGTTTAGCATGTTCACACTTGCTGCCAAAAGCTTCTTGACTTGGTGAAGGTTACTGTAACCGAACCACTCAAGCTCTTGGAAGAGTAAAGACTACACTCCACTATGGGCTACACGGTTGTAGTTCATCACTATAATGTGGTCAACAAAATGAGTAAATTTCTTACTCTAAAATGTATGGGCTTGTATTAAAGAGTTTGTATTGGCTTCCAGGCTCGTGGCATTGATGTGCAACAGGTTTCGTTGGTTATAAATTACGACCTGCCGACCAATCGTGAAAACTACATTCACAGGTTAGTTGCTGCAGTGTTATGTCATTGAATGTTTCTCCTATTTTCACTGCTTCAGACTAAATCACAAGAACTTGCATCCTATTTTCTACATATTTCTATCTGTATAACTTGGACAAACCCACCCACTGCTCTGGGTTTTCTTAGTCCACTCAGTGGGGGGGACTGGAATAGTGTGCATATCCAACCATACCAGGAAGGGTGTACCCATCTAAAATATTGAACACTAAGCACTGACTGGTACAGCTGTTTCCATAACATTTCTGAAATGGGGGAGGGGCAGAGCTTCTTGGTTAGTCAATGAAACAAAGCAGTGGGAAAACTTAAATGTCTTAGTCTGTCTTGGCATTGTTGCCTGATACATTCATTGCTGAGGTGTTGTCCAGTTGGCATCTGCTGCTGAATTAGTATCTTCTGCAGTATATCTTGTGGAGTCTCAGAAACTGCAAAAAATATTTTCTAATTGCAGTGTTCATGCCAAGTCTAGTTATTGATTTGTCCACCACATCTGCTTTAGGCCATAGCTAATTTTTCCTGGATTGCTGCTGCTGTTCAGTTAGTAGGCTTCCATATTGTTAGCAACTTCAGCTGGGATAGTAAGACTGCGTTGACTTCCTGAGAGGTCTAATTGTGCTGTTTTGTGCCTTCATTGTTTGTTCTTGGTGGTTCCTCTTACAGTGGGATTCTTTCTTCTGTGGTGTTTTTATTTTGTTGTTTTTCTCCTTTCTGGTAGCAATTTCAGTTTTGTTTCCCTAGCTCTAGTTAAATACTTCTAGTGGCTTTGTCCTTAAATGAAGTAAATTGTACTCTGTTACTTGATGTAAAAAAATACAGGAGTCGATAGCAGCAGTTGATGACACAAGATGGTGCTCAGAAACGGCGTTGACCTAATTTAGGACGTGGATTCGTAAGCGGCACACTGTTTGAATAAAGAGCGAGTTGGTATTTATATATTTGTTTTTTCTTTTGTCATGATTATTCGCTTTGTTTTGTCATGTATTTTAGCTCTTACAGAAAAGGTTTCACATTGTCCAGTTTTCCATGAAGGAAGGCAGAACTGTGTTGGTGGGCTGTCAACTCATTAAAACTAATGTGGTGGTGTAATCTGTCTCTTACCTAAAACTTATACAAAAGCAGTGATTTTTAGCTTTATATTGAATCTTGTCTTGGGTTTCCTTGTCAAACTGATAAGTTTTCCCACTGAAAACAACATCTTAAATACTAAAAATTTGATGTTTTCACAATGAAATAGTAACATTTACTGTTCTGCATTACAGAATGTAATTGGAGTACATCTGTTGCTGACTTAAATATTTATTTTAGCATTCTTGAACATTTACCTGTGCGCTAGGCTGACCAAGCTCTGCCCATGCTTGGGAAATGGATGAGGGTGGCTGGATGTGTAAGTCTCATTGCTAGCCATTCTCAAAAGATGCAAGAGTGGGAGGGTTGAAATGATTTTGCACTTCATATCACAACACCAAAAAGAGCTACACTGAAATTATTTTGCAGTCAAAACAGTAATCTTTTTCTCCACTGCTCTCCATAGGTTGGATATTTCTTAAGGTTGGCACTAACAGCTAATTTTTCTTGTCAAAATACCACTTTGACTAGCACCTAGTACTGTAAATAAGGATAAACTGGCCTTTGGCAGATAAGGCCAGAAGGGACCATTGTGATCATCTAGTCTGATGTCCTGTATAATACTGGCCATAAAATGTCTCACCCTCCTCTAGGAATTTGAACCTTTTAGAAAAACATGTTTAAATGTCTTCTATTCTGTATGCAGAATTGGACGAGGTGGTCGTTTTGGCAGGAAAGGTGTGGCTATAAACTTTGTTACCGAAGAGGACAAAAGAATTCTTCGGGATATTGAGACTTTCTACAATACTACAGTGGAGGAGATGCCTATGAATGTGGCTGATCTCATTTAATCCCTGGGATGAGAGCTTTTTTGAATGCAGTGCTCGCTGTTGCTGAATAGGCGATTCACAACGTGCATTGTGCTTTTCTTTGGGGATACACTGAATCTCGTCTCAATGCTCATAACGGATCCGAAATACAGATTTTTTTTTTTTGATCAGCGAAGCGACATTTTGTCGTGAGCTCCCGTGGTGAAAGCCATTGGCTTTATCCACTTTAGGGTTAGACTGTTGGGGTTGGGTGGAAAGTCATGGGGTCTGTACACTTTTTCTTTCTTAGAAATTTATTTCCTAGTTCAGTAGAAGTGGTTGTATTAGATGTTCTTTATCATTTGATAATTTACTTATGGACTAAAAGATATAAGTGCTGTATAAAGTCAGCCAATTATGTTAAACTAGCATACCTTCCTTTATTGTATGTTTTTTACTTCTACTTTAGATTGAATTGGAAAGGCCTTTAAAAATATATAAACTTTTTATATAGAGTATTCAAATGCATTTTTGTTTATGTATTTATTCAATAAAATATTTAATTAGTGGTAAGTGTGATCTGGACCCTGTTAAGCCCCAGCAAGCAAGCAATCATACTATTGTCTTAGTTAGGGTTAAACCCAGTAAAATGGCCATATTGCACATGTCTTAATGAAGTTTGAATGTTCAATAAAAAACTTCTATATTCACTTTTAAAGTGTAAAAGTTGTTTTTGACTGAAAGTGTCTTTCATTGAGTGGAGGTAATGTTTCATTTTGATCAGACTACCAGTGTTACACTAATCTTATTTCTCTTCAAGTTTGGCATTTGAGTATAATCACCAATACTGGTTATCATAACCATTCTTTCTGCAGCTAGTAGAAGGCTCTATAAGTGGCCTGAGAACCAGATTAAAGCATGTGTGTGGTTTTTTTTTTTTTTAAATCACTTGCTAGTAAAGAAGCCCAATAGCCCATGAACAGTTAAGCCAGTAACTAGCCTGCTAACTGCATGGGGCAGGGAGAGGGGAAAGCTTAGGACTTATCTACAGGGAATTTCTACATTTATGCGAAAGTCTTGCAAACCCCCTCCTAAAAAAAATATTTCCAGGGATTTTCTCCTTTATCGGAGTATAAATTATAAAAGCAGTGATCTGGGTAACATGCATGTCAAAAACAAATTTTATATTTCATACTATCATTACAGTATTTTTATTACATTATAAAAATGGTGACACTTCTAATATCTCACTTCTGTAGCTTGTATCACTTTGAATAAGCCTGTTATAAGATAAGGCTCTTATGTTTCATCAAGGAGTATCAGATGTGAAACATCATGAAGGTATTTAAGAAGCCCACTCAGAGTTCCTCCTACACAAGCATTCAGGTCTTGAGCAGTCCAGGCAAACAATGCACATTACAACAAAGCTTAAACTTGTTCATAATTTAAAACAAAATACTAGCTGCCTATTTAATTTTAAAAACAGCAAAAAATACCCACCTCCCTTTCCATTTCTTATAAAGAGTTTAAGTTTAAATCTCATCAGTGTGATAGATATGCTTGCTTTGATCTGCTTAGCTCCTGGAAGTCCAGTGGCTCTAGGCTGCTGGCCCTGTGCTGCCCAGGGTCCCAAGGGACAGCTCTGACCACCATTAGGGAATTTTTTTCTGAGAATCCCTGTAACATTTCACAAACACCAGTTTGGGAACCACTGGTCTATGGTAATGACAACCTTTGGTTGTGATGGAGTTGCCAGGGCTGCTGTTAGATTTACTGGGGCCAAAGCTTGAGGGCTGACAGGGCTCAGGATTAGAAGTGGCAGCTGGGCATGGGCTTCAGTCTCCACACATATCTTACATGAATGTTGCTTTAAGAGGCATATTGACTAAAACTAGCACTGTTACTCTTAACTCATTCTTACCACTGCACTACATACTCAGATGACTCTGTTTGAGCAGTCAGTAAGCAAGAAGGTAATTGTAATCACAATGAGAACCCTATTCCTTCCTGTTGCATAGTGACAATTTCTAGTCAAATTTTTTATGAAAACCATAAAGTTGTTTGGCATTGTCCCATACTTATCCTATCTGTGGAATTGGGGTTTGTTACAGCCTCAAGTCCCCTCAAAAAGCTGTGGGCTGCTTCTGGTTGAACTTGTAACTTACTCTCCAACAGCTAGTAGAAGCAGGGAGTAATATAGGCCCCTTGGATATAGAACTCTCCAGGCAAGGGGAAAGCATACAGCAAGGTGAGACGCTGCAGACCCAGGCATGTGGACATTGAACTTGCAAGTGTTGCAGTGATTAGCTGCTAGTTTTAACCCTCTCCAACACTCAATTTTACTCCCCCACCACTTTCCCCTGGTATAAGCCACACCGAAAACAAGTCAACTAACAGTTGCTACTATCACCTTGTTTATGCAGCTTATCATACCCCTTTCCATTCTCATAAGCTCTTCAGGGCCTAGGGCCCCATTCTTTATTATATTGCCACCCTGGAATAGCCCAGTTTGTCTTGCTAGAGATCTACCATCCTTTAGCCAGAATCTAAATAACTACTTGAGAATAGGAAATTATAATTCTTATCTTTACACCCACTGGTTGAGATGTTCTCATTCAGGCTTTATTAGCCAAAATACCCTGAAGAGAATGAAGCAGTAACTTATTGGACTAACTTCTGTTGGTGAGTCAAGCTTTTGATCTTACAAAGAGCCCAGACCTGCAGAAGAGCTCTGTAACCTCACAAGCACATCACCAGAAAAGTTGATCCAATAAGATTTTACCTCACACCCCCCCCCCCCCCCTACCCTCCACCATCCCGGGCCCCGCCCAGCTAAAACACTATATGATTCTTTGACCATGGGGTGGCATTCCAAGACTCCACTTAATGAAAAGAGGGAAGAGCATCTTTGCAAGCAGGCCGGCTTTAAACTAGGTTCACCGGGGGAAGAAGATCAAAGCCCTAAGGTAAGTGGGATGCCAGGAGGAAGCACGAGCAGGAGAGCCCAAGAGGGGAGGACTCCTGCCTCACACTGGGAAAGCAGGACAATCAGCAAGTTATCAACTGCCTCTACACCAATGCAAGAAGCCTGGGAAACAAGCAGGGAGAACTGGAAGTCCTGGTACAGTCAAGGAATTATGTGATTGGAATAACAGACCTGGTTGAATAAATCACATAGAATCATAGAATATCAGGGTTGGAAAGGACCTCAGTAGGTCATCTAGTCCAGTGGTTCCCAAACTGGGGTTCGTGAACCCCTGGGGGTTCGCGAAATGTTACAGGGGGTTCTCAGGAAAAAATTCCCTAATGGCGGACAGAGCTGTCCATAGGGACCCCGAGCATCGCGAGGCCAGCAGCCCGGAGCCCTTGGACTGCCAAGAGCTAAGCAGATCAAAGCAAGCATATCTATCATACTGAGGAGCTTTAAACTTCAAGACTCCTTATAAGAAATGGAAAGGGAGGTGGATATTTTTTGCTGTTTTTAAAATTAAATAGGCAGCTAGTATTGTTTTTAAATTATGAAGAACAAGTTTAAGCTTTGTTGTAAAGTGCGTTGTTTGCCTACACTGCTCAAGACCTGAATGCTTGTGTAGGAGGAACTCTGAGTTGGCTTCTTAAATACCTTCATGCTCTTTCACATCTGATACTCCTTGATGAAACATAGGAGCCTTGTCTTATAACAGGCTTATTCAAAGTGATACAAGCTACGAAAGTGAGATCTTGGAAGAGTGTTGCCGTTTTCATAGTGTAATAAAAATACTGTAATGATAAATAATAATTAATAATAAATAGTGTGTAATAATCATGTCATAAAAACAAATTTTATATTTCCAAGATCACTGCTTTTATAATTTATACTCAGGTAAAGGAGAAAATCCCTGCAAATATTCATTTTTAAGAGGGGGTTCGTGAGACTTGACGTGCTAGTGAAAGGGGTTCACAGGTTGTTGAAGTTTGGGAACCACTGATCTAGTCCAACCCCCTGCTCAGAGCAGGACCAATCCCCAGACAGATTTTTACCCCAGTTCCCTAAATGGCCCCCTCAACGATTGAACTCATAATCCTGGGTTTAGCAGGCCAATGCTCAAACCACTGAGCTATCCCTCCCCCACAAGCAAAAATGTTAGACTAGAGTACTGTCATGGATGGATAGAAACTGTTCAGGCAGGGCAGACAAAGTGGAGGAGTTGCATTGTATGTAAGAGCAGTGTGACTGCTCAGAGCTCCAGTATGAAACTGCAGAAAAACATAAGCATCTCTGGCTTAAGTTTAGAAGTGTGCACAACAAGGGTGATGTCGTGGTGGGAGTCTGCTATAGACCACCAGACCAGGGAGATGAGGTGAACGAGGCTTTCTTCCAGAAACTAACAGAAGTTACTAGATCACAAGCCCTGCTTCTCCTGGGGGACTTCAATCACCCCGATATCTGCTGGGAGAGCAATACAGTAGTGCACACACAATCCAGGAAGTTTTTGGAAAGTGTAGGGTGCAAGTGCTGGAGGAACCAACTAGGGGCAGAGCTCTTCTTGAGCCTGCTGCTCACGAACAGGGAAGAATTAGTAGGGGAAGCAAAAGTGGATGGGGAACCTGGGAGGCAGTGACCATGAGATGGTGGAGTTCAGGATCCTGCCACAAGGAAGAAAGGAGAGCAGCAAAATACAGACCCTGGACTTCAGAAAAGCAGACTTTGACTCCCTCAGGGAACTGATGGGCAGGATCCCCTGGGAGAATAACATGAGGGGGAAAGGAGTCCAGGAGAGCTGGCTGTATTTTAAAGAATCCTTATTGAGGTTGCAGGAACAAACCATCCCGATGTGTAAAAAGAAAAGTAAATATGGCAGGCAATCAGCTTGGCTTAACAGTAAAATCCTTGCTGATCTTAAACACAAAAAAGAAGCTTTCAAGAAGTGGAAGATTGGATAAATGACCAGGGAGGAGTATAAAAATATTGCTCAGGCATGCAGGAGTGAAATCAGGAAGGCCAAATC